TGTGGGGGTGTGTGTGTGAGTGTCGGAGGCTGTGCGGGGGGGTTTGCGTGGACCGCGGCGGCGCGGGGCGCAGCGCTCTTACCTGCTTGCTGTACTTGCTGCTGGCCTGGCAGCTGTACTCGGAGCAGTGGTCCGACCCGATGGAGATGTTGTCGCCGGCGCCCACGAAAGTGTTGGCCGGGGGCAGGTCCTGCACGGCCTGGTGCTTTTTGCCGGCGGTGGGGGACTGCGGGTGCAGCTGGACGGTGGGTAGCGGTGAGCTCGACTTGTAGTGCCTGGCCAGGCAGGGGCTGCCCGGGCCACCGTTAACCGAGCGGTACCGCCCCATACCGGGGCTGTCCGAAAGCTTCTCGTTGACGCTGTCATAGCGCTGCCCATTAGGCTTGGAAGCCTCGACGGTGACGATGCTGCTGTAGAGGGGCTGCTTGCCCTTCTTGCCTTTCTTATCCTTCTTTGGCTTCTTGGCCTTGTCATGCTGCTGTGGGGTGAAGAAATCCTCGTGGTCCTTCTTGCCGGCCTCATAGCCATGTTTGCTTTTGGAGCGGCAGTAGCGGGCCATGACCACCACCAGGATGAGGAGGATGACGGTCATGATGCCAGCCACCACGCCGATGACTATGCTAAGCCGCTGCTTGCTCAGCTCATAGCTGGGGTCACCGGCGATGTCCTGGGCCAGGGGAGTGTGGAGGCTGCGGGCCACCTGGCTCTCCACCACAGTAGCGTTGGACAGGCTCTCATTGACAAAGACGTGGAGCAGGGCAGTGGTGGACTGGGGCGGCTGCCCACTGTCATTCACCTGCACCACGAGGCGGTGCAGGCCATAGTGCTTGGGGGCCAGCTTGCCCACCAGTGACACCACGCCACTGGCCGGGTCGATCTCAAAGAGTTTGAAGGGGTTTCCCCCAATGATGCTGTAGTTGAGGTCGGCGTTGAGACCAGTGTCAGCATCAGTGGCAACCACTGTGGCCACCACAGTGCGCATGTTGCTGGAGGGCGGCAGCACGGTGTAGGAGCTGTTGCTGGGGAAAGTGACTGTGGGCGCATTGTCATTCTCGTCCATCACAAAGAGGGACACAGTGGCCGTGGCAGAGCGTGGTGGCTCACCTCCATCCACTGCCTTCACCTTAAAAGTGTAGCTGGTCTGTTGCTCCCGGTCAAAAGAGACAGTGGAGAAAATGGTTCCAGTGTCATTCTCGATGGAGAAGATGCCAGCTGCCTGGTCGTGGTCACCAGGCTGGATGGAGAGGCTGAGCTCTGCATTGCGGCCCTTGTCGAAGTCCATCACGGTCACCATGCCTACTGGGCTATTGGGCTGCAGGTTCTCCTTCACATAGAAAGTAAACACATCCTGCATGAAGCGTGGCTCATTGTCGTTGCGATCTGCCACCCTCACCACCACCGTAGTGGAGCCCTGCAGGGATGGCACCCCCTTGTCCCGGGCTGTCACCTGGAACTCATAGGTGTCACGTTGCTCACGGTCCAGCACTGCCTGCACTGACACATCCCCAGAGTCGGGGTCGATGCTGAAGATGCCACCTGGTGCCTCCGAGGAGAGGGGTGAAGCCTCGAGGGAGTAAGTGATCTCGGCGTTCTTGCCACTGTCTGCATCTGTGGCGACCACTGTGGCCACCCTCTCACCAGGCAAGTTGTTCTCTGGAAAGGAGACCTCCAGCACAGCCTGGCTGAACACGGGAGGGTTGTCGTTAGTGTCCCCAACCCGCACCAGCAAGGAATTGTTGCTGGACAAGCTGGGGCTGCCTGAGTCCACAGCCACGATCACCACGTTGTAGTCGCGGACAGCCTCATAGTCCAGAGGGGCTGAAGTATGGAGGAAATACTTGCGCTTGTTCTGCGGCTCCCCTTCACCCTCGCTGGCTGGCTTGAGTTGGAAGGGCACGTCACCCACCACGGTGCAGGTCACCACCCCATTTTCACCTTGGTCCCGGTCTGACACCTGTACCAGGGCAATTGGGGTATCCACCAGCACATCCTCAGCCACGCTTGCCACCCCGTCCCGGAGCGGGATGCGCCCAATTTTCCGGATGTCGATGGTAGGCACGTTGTCATTCTCATCACGGATGTTCAGCACGACAGTGGCTTTGTCTGTCTTGGGGGGCTGGCCCCGGTCTCGGGCCATGACGGTGAAGCGAAGCTGGTTCACCTCCTCCCGGTCGATGCGGTGCAAGACGCTGAGCCAGCCGGAGGTCTCGTCCAGCCTCAGCAGGCGCCTGACGGACTCGGTGGCCGCCCCGAAGACGTACTCGATCTGCCCGTTCACCCCCACGTCCAGGTCGGCGGCTCGCAGCTGCAGGATGGGGGTGCCGGGGCTGCTGTTCTCCGCCAGGTCCGCCTC